GATGCAATTTGCCTAGGGCAAGGAAAGGAGGGAATCCACAGGACTCTACAGAACCTAAGCGTCCTCTGTCCTCTGACCGTCCTCTGTCCTCTGACCGGGCTTACTGTGACCTACCTTCCTGCAGTCCACGCCCTCCCTATCTGAGCAATGAAAGGAAAGCAGGCTGCTCACTGCCGGTAGGGACATATTCCATAGCTTCAAGCCTCCAAGTGGCTTGGTGGTAACACCCTAAAGTACAGAAGCACCTTTTGTGATACTGCTCTGTTGTGACACCAAACGCTGACATGGGATTTTCTAGATTCAGGCAGTATTACTTAGCATGAAATGTGTAGGGACGATGCAGAACTCACATTTATTAAAGGCCTCATATGTTCTAGATACAAACAGAATTACATTTTACTGCCCACAACCATGCTATGAGGTGTTACACCCATTTTACAGAAGAAGAAATGGAGGTTTACAGAGATAAGCACCTTGCTGTGACGGTAGAGCCAGAATTTCCGATACTTCAGTCAGATTCACCAGTCTGAGCATTTTACATTGCACTGTGTTCTGGGTACCTGTGAAATGACTTCTGACCTGGCCCGCCATGGCACACAGATCCACCCCTTTACAGTGGCCTAGTTATTGCTACTCAAGGGGCAGTGGCATCAGGAGGGAGCTTCACTGAGCCCTGGGTTTCTCCATGCCAATGGGAGCTTGGCGTGAGCTTCCCCTGCCTCTGCCCACTTCCTATTCTTTACTCCCCAGGCAAAAAAGGTTGTTCAAGGAGACTCCAGGGTTTGGGGTCTGCCTCATCACTGTCACCAGGAGTCTTTTTTTTCTGACTGATTTGCCAGAGCTCCCCGTCAGTCCTCATAGTGCTTCTGGAAGCAAAGGGAAGGCAGCTGTGGGGATCCTGGCTGAACCAAGCCCAGGTAAAGCTGCCTTGAAAATGGACTGATGGGGATGGTTGGGATGTCACAGGTTTGATTGCAGAGTGAGGGGGGAGGGGGAGTAGCCAGGAAGGATTGTAGGTTCTGCTGTTTGGTTGATTAAGGGGGTCAGCGTGTGTATGTGTCATCGAGGTGGGCAGGGAAGGGGAGGGCTGTGTGTGTGGGGGGGAGGATATATATGCTGGTGTGGGTGATACGGCAGAACCCGAGCCTCACATCCGAGGGAGCCTGGCTACGGACAGCTCTCAGGTAAGGTAACTGCATGCACACCCCAGCCCTGGAACAAACTGCTCAGAGCCTCAGGACTGGGGAGGAACAGGGCAGCCAGGAACTCTCACTTCAGCCTCTCTCTTTTGTCCAGTTTGGATGCAGCTGGTCTTCTTGTGCAATTGTTTCTTCATTCATCTTATGTTCAGCGCTTGTATGGGGGGGTTGAGTTTTTTAATCTTCAGAAATACAGGAAGAAGAAAGAGGTGAACTTAGAAATGAGGAAAAGTTTTGACAACCCAGTTTTGGCCCCCCCGTTTTGTTATTGCTATTTGTTGAGAAGAGAGGGGCTATATGAGTGAGGTTAGGTGAGAGGCAGTCACTTGGGAGGGGGCTTGCCTTGCAGGGCCTCCCTCGGGAAGCCTCTGGTTCCAGTGTGAGCGTTTTTTGTTCTGTGGCTGACTTCTTTTCCTTCCCTGATATTCTATTCAGGGTGGTTTTCAATGTATCACTGAATTTGGTATTATTTGTATTTGAGTTTTTAAATTCTAAGGGAAACCTTCTCCCTTGTGCACTGAATAGAAATTGCTAATAATGATGTAGATTCAAACCTGGGGGTAGGGGGTTATGCTCCACCTGTCCGTTGCAGAACACAATCACCCTGTGTGAATTCCATAGAGAATTTCTGCATGGATGCCCTTGGTCTCCTAAACCCTGAATCATTTTGATGGCTCTTCTCTTTCTTTGTACCTTGCCTAGACCTCCCACCTAAAGGTCTTTGCCCAGTCCTGAAAAACTACTTTCAGAAGTCATAGCATCCAAACTCTCTCTCTGCTCTTTCTCAGCCTCTTTTCTTTCCCCTTCTCTCTTTGTGCATCTTTCTTTCTGTATGTCTCAATTCCCCTCCTTTCATTACCCATCCCTCCCCCACCCCCCAGTCTCACTCAGCACATGTGCAAGTACTGGGGGAATTTCAAGTAAGGCAGGATGATTCGGGAAATGGACTATTTAAAGCAGGCTGCTTTTGGTCTTGAATACCCTGATCCTGGGTTTAAACATCTGTGTTTAGCTTCTTCGAGCAGCCCATAATTGCCCCAATTATAACCAATAACATTGTTCAGCAGACTAACAAAAGATAAGCTTCGCACGGCATTCACCAGCAAGCCTAAACCAGAGTTTTCAACATAGAGGGAAAAAGTAACTGCCTGGCTTCTTATCAAAACCTCCCAAAGAAAATACTGCTGTTTCTCCCTACTGGCAGGTGTCCGCTGAACGCACAATCCTTTTTCTCATTGCCAAGCGTGACAGGGAAATATTCTCCCTGTGTCCACTGATGCTGTGACACCTTTAACAACAACAATAACAAAAGATTCGTATTCCTCTGTGCTTGCTGAATTTTCCGCAGAGGAGGGTCCCTGGAAAGAGTATCCTCAACCACAACCACCACCTTAGTTAAAGGAGCAGCTCCCACTGTTTCATCTGCTACCTGTTGCTGCCTGTAGGGGGCACTGTGGTGCAGCCTTTGGTCATTTTTCAGGTGCAGTTCTATTCTGTTTGAGGGGAAATAGCCCCCCTGTTTTATCAGCTGAAGGCTGAGGGTACTTAAGGATTGAGAAAATGCAGGAGATTTTGCATTGTCAATGAAGGGAGTAATTGCAGGATTAGGCTCAAACCCATGCTCTCTGGAGCCTATGACAGGAGCTGCCACAAAACTATTCCATAGTCCATTAATCAGTATTTATCATCTACACTCCACCAGGCAAGGGAGGCATGATGGGGATTCAAAAGAGGTGATAATAACAGTGCTTTACATTCATATAATGATTTACATTTTTGACAATGCTTTCGTACCCATTTTCCCTGGCCACAGCCCTGTGAAGCTGTGTCATATCTCCATGTTGTAGTTGAAGAAACTGAAGCTGAGAGGTTAAATAATTAAATTAAATATCTCCATTTGGTTTATGGGAGCTTATAAACTAATTGGGAGGAGACAACACAAACACACATGAAACAATTAGAGAACAATGCAAGACTGTATGTAATTAAGTTCTAAATTATGTGGTACAGGCAGTAAGCGCTAGAGGAATTTGGAAGAAGGAGCACTTCCTCAGTATGGGCCAAAAAAATAGGGAAGCAGGGAGATTGTGAGGGGCAGCTGGGTAGGGATAGAGGTAGGAGTTGGAGGAGCTCTACTGGTGTCGAGTGGTGTAGTGCCTAAGGCATTTGACTGCTGATCAGAAAGTTGGTGGTTCAAATCCACCAGCTGGGTGATCTACTTCCATAAAGATTTACCACTTTGGAAACTCAATGGGTGTCACCATGAGTTGGAATCGACTCAATGGCAGTGAGTTTGGTTCTGGTTTGGAGAGCCCTGGTGGTGCAATTGTTAAGCACTCAACTGCTAACTTAAAGCAAGTGGTTTGAACCCACCAGCCACTCCACAGGAGAAAGACCTGGCAATCTGTTCCCATAAAGATTATAGCCTGGGACACCCTAAAGGGCAGTTCTACAATGTCCTATAGGATTGCTGTGAATTGGACCTTTGAAAGAGCCCCTTGACTACTAGCCAAAAAGTTCGTTGGCAGTTTGAACCCACCCATTTGTTCCTGGAAGTTAGGCCTAGCGATCTGCTTCTAAGAAAGGTCACAGCCTTGCAAACCCTATGGAGCACTTCTACTCTGCATTCCTGGGGTCACCATGGGTCCGAAATGACTCAACAGCAACTGAAAACAACAGGGCTATTGAGAAGGAGGCAAGCAGCAGTCCTGACAAACACATAAAAGGAGGACAGAGGAAGTAATATGTACTGAAACCTACTATGTGCCAGTCAGTGAACTAAACTTGCCTATGTGTTTTTTGAAATCACACTTGTTCTCAGTCTGAGTGAAGCTACTCATCAGATGTACTAGGAAAGGAACGGGTCCTTCTCAGAAAATAGGCATCATCAATTTGTAGTGGCTTGAATTGCTCAGAACTTCTCAGGCAAACAGGATTTTCTGAACATGTTTATTTAAATTCCTGTAGGGGTTTTCCCCAAAACTAATATGAAGGCTTGACTGCTAACCAGAAGTCTAGCTGTTCAAACTCACCAGCCACTCCTCGAAAGGCAGGTTGGGCGATCTACTTCCATAGTGATACCACCTTGGAAACCTAAGGACGGGTCACTATGAGTCGGGTCTGACTCCACGGCAAATAACAACAACAATATGAAGGCTTACTTCTAATCACAAACTAGTCATGAATTTTTGGCCACAGTAATTTTTAAGACAGGCCAATTTTGGGGGCAAACCAATTTTTAGGTATCTCCCTAGATAGGCTACAATCACATTTAATCTTGACATTCCGTGATCTTGTGACTTTTCAAAATACTGGCAGCTGCTTCAGCATTGCAGAAACACAGTATCCCCAACTCTGAAGGGCCTAGCTTGGTGGGTGAAATGTATAGTTTGCCTCAGAGAAGTCCTGGGTCTTGGGGAAAATGTCAGTAAATCACCCTATATCCAGAGTTCTGCTTTCCCACAGTGGCTACAAACTAACTCCCCTCATCTCCCCCTCTGCCTGTGATCTCCCCCCACCCACCCCCATTACCCATTCATCCTTTCATTCATTCAGCCAACGAAACGTGTGTTGAGTTCCTGATAGGAGCAGCACAGCGCGGAATGCCAAGAATGCAGAGCTGTCAGATAGCCCTTGCCACCCTCAAACCTCACAGTCGATGTAGCTAAATGTTAGTCAGTCTAGCAGCGGCTTATCTACAGAAAATAGCGCCTATGGCAATTACTTTTAAATTGCTGAATGATCTCACACAGCTGGCGATGGAAACTGTGATGGCGAATAGAAACTACTCACTGGTGGCAACCTGCCTCAGGCACGTTCTATACCTTTGATAAAACTCTGTCTCTTGACCGCTAGTCTCCAAATGTGGATGTGTGCCCATCAGCCCACTGGGCGCCGGGAAATTTGGGGCTTTAGTTTTTGGTTATCTTAGCCTTCCTAATTTACACTTTAATGAGTTTTACAATGCATATGATTTATAAATAAAAAAACTGAGACTGTGTGCTCAAAATGTTTTATTGCTATTGTTGTTGTTGTTATGTGCCATCGAGTTGGCCCCAACTCATAGCGACCCCTCCTTGGGGTTTCTGAGGCAGTATCACTACGGAAGTAGATTGCCCCATCTTCCTTCCAAGGAGTGGCTGGTGGGTTTGAACCGCTAGCCTTATGGTTAGCAGTCAAGTGCCTTAGGCACAGTACAAAATTAAGGAAGTTTGAAGATTATTGATCTAGATTCATTACTTTTTGTTTGTTTGTTTATCTGTGTTTTCTAATCTCTGAAGAGAAATATTGAGCACTTTTATTGTAAAAGTAAATAAAAGCTTTTAAAAATCTTTTAAATTATGTTGACAGTATATGTGGAGCCAGACCAAGAAGATAAAAGTTAAGAGTGATACGTTTCCCTTCGTGGTGGCCCTGATGAAACATGTTTTTTGCCCCTTTTAAGGCTTCTCCCAAGGAGCTCTGGTGGTGTGGTGCCTTAAGCATTGGACTGCTAACCAGAAGGTTGTAGGTTCAAACCCACCAGCCACTCCCTGGAAGAAAGACTGTGCAATCTCCTTCCGTGAAGATTTACCACTTCAGAAATTCACTGTAAGTTGAATTGGACTCAATAGCAGCGGGTTTGGTTTTTTTGGAAGACTTCTCCCAAAACCAAAGCTATGCTGTTACTGCATTTGTCCAGTGCTGCACTGTAAAGCTGCTTCCCTGTGAAGTTCTGCTCATACTCTTCAGTCTGTCTTTCTTGCTTCCCCTTGCTTAAAAAAAAAAAAAAAACTCACTGCCATGGAGTTGGTTCTGGCTCATAGCAACCCCTCCTTGGGTTTCTGAGGCAATATCTCTACAGAAATAGAGAGCCCAGTCTTCCTTCCTAGGAGTGGCTGGTGGGTTTGAACCACCAGCCTTTTAGTTAACAGTCAAATGCCTTAGGCACTATTCTACAAGCGCTCCTTCCCCTTGCTAGGAGAGGACAGATACCTGGTCATTCA